ATAAAAAGGTAATATGTCAAAATTTAAATATATAAAAATATATATTAATGATAATTAAGTTTGAGGATCAAAATTATAAATATATATGTCAATTACAAATAGGGGTGTCAATTACATGGGTTGGTTCACCACATACCGAGTTGAAAAGGGACGAGTTTAACCTTACTCACTTTATGGTAAGTCAAAAAATTTATAATCCGACTCAATCCACTATAGGTTGGTAGGTTGATTCACTAACCCATATATTTTTTTTGTTATTCAAATTTTTTTTTTCTAATGAGTATGGTTGAAATACAATAGTGCAGTGACACGAAAAATGTTATGACGTGACTATAACACTATAAATACTATAAATGTTATAATGTAAATACGGTGGTGTGCAAACATGGCGTACCAATCATTATTATGCAATTAAAATGCGAGATTGATAGGTTTGTGATTAAAACACAAGATTGACACCTGACATATCAAATGTTGTGATGTGACTAAAACACGATAAATATTATGGCACAATTGAAACTTGGTGGTGCGACAAACGCAACCAACACAGTGACATAATGACGAATGCAGTGGTGAGACTAACAAATAATGATAAACTTGAGTGAGTGTTTGACTTCTAACGTGGAGTAGAAGTAGAGAGACATGATAACTTCAATAAGATTATTAAATTATTATAATTATTTTTTAAATTTAAAATAAATAGTGGATTGCATACCAACCTATTATAACCCAACTCTAACTCGTGGGTTGAAGGATCTGGGTTTGTTTTTAACCTATTGTCGATATAAATGAAAAAAATTGAATTTAACCTCGTTCGAATTAGTAATGAGTCGGCTCATGGTTTAGAATTCTTATTGACACTCTTAAAACTAGGACTCCTCGGCTTTCAAGAAAATTCATCATTATTATCTCCACATCAAGCATTTTGAAGAGTGAAATGAATAGAATTCAATTTTTATAATTATAAATTTAATAAAAAATAAATTATGCACATCTATTGTAAAAAGTAAAAATTCCAATGTATTATATGTAACTATAAAAGCCAAATCAGTTTAGATGTTATGCGACATTTTTTGAATGTGAAGAAGTGAGGTTCAATTTTTATAATTACAGATTTCAGATTTATTTAAATTAGTTCTTAATAAATAATTAAATTACACACACCAATAATATTTATTTATATAAAAATGAAAAATTTCAATATATTATGCATCAGAGTTTGAGTTTGAATATATATAGTCATTCTCTTTCTTTTTAATCATAAATACTACAAAATCATAATAACTCATCAATAATCTTTTTTTTTTATAGTTTTAAAATACAATTATAACGTGTGTGAATTACTTTACATAGTTTCGTAATTTTGAAGTTAATATTTTCATAATAAATTGTATATTATCACAAACAAAGACATAACATTTTGGAAAAGGTTAGGGTTAATTTTTTTATAATTATAGATGATAAAAAATAATAAACGATTAATAGAAGACATAAGACATAACTCGATATTTGTTCACTTTAGTCATTTCTTAGGACCTCCTTTGTCCTCAGACTGCTTTTTTGTGTTAGTCTAAAGCCTCCTTTGTAATATCATTGCTTTATTTTCCATTTTTATTATTTAAATTTATTAAAAATTATAAAAAGCAAATTCAATCTTATAACATGAGTTTGACAAATATTATATCTTTTGGTCGATGAGATTTCATCGTACTATATTATTATATTTTCTGTAGTTGAAGTATAATTTCTTAATATGTTTTTTCTTTTAAATAATTTTAAAATTTGAACAAACCATGTCATTACAGAGTAATTGCATCAAGCCCTGAGGTTATTCTCAGTGTCTCCAAGTTATTTTCTGTAGACATGTGATTAGTCTTTGTTCAATCCGTGTTTGGCATCTTTCTTCAATCAACTTTTTCACGTCTTCATTCTTTTGGGGTTGGGGTCGGGGTCCTCCAAAAATCCCCTCTAATCATATTAACATAATTTTTTAATATTACCATTTCATAATTACCAAACAAAATTTGGACTATTATAACAATGGTGTAACTATTTTAAATTATTAAACAAAAAGATAATTAAAGTAGTATAAAAACTTTAATGAATTATATCAACATCACAAATCGTTTTTCTCATTGTATTGAATATCTAAAGTTTATGTCATTAAATTAATTACAAAAATTGGATTGCATCATAAAAGTTTTTTTAAAGACAATATATAATTTTTATAAATTATTATTATTATTATTATTATTATTATTATTATTATTATTAAATGGACAATGTATATTTAAAAGTGTTTATATATCCATATTTTTTATATTATTAATTTTTTAAAATTTTATTTTATTTTTTTAATATATATCACATTATCTTTCTACTTTAATACATTCTTTTCTCTTCTATTTTTGTACGGTTTGTTTTCTTTCTCTTTTTTTTAATGCATATATATATATATATATATATATATATATATATATATATATATATATATTCATTGTTTTATATTCTTTCTCCACTTATTATATTATATTTTTTTTTCTTTTGATGACATAAAAAAAGTTTAAAAAAATATTCTTTATATATAAAATATAGATTATTATTATTATTATTATTGATGATTTCTTAACCAGAATTTTAAAGAAAAATCTCAATTATAAGAATTCACTTAATAAAATTAAATTATGTATTACCCAACCTAATTATCTGTTGATCAATTGTATCATAAAATTTTAATTGTTAATTCTTCGCAAAAAAATGAACATAAAAAATACATTTTTTAAAATATTTTTTTACAATTTTCTTATTTTTTAATATTGATTTGCGATAATTCTTGATCACCCACCAAGGTTTTTCATACACTTCATAGTTTATATTTATTACCTTTAAATTAATACTCTTTATACCATATTTTTTACAATTTGCATAATCTAACCATGCTTTGCATAATGTTATTGAATGTTAACGTACAGTCCATAAAATTGACGCAGAAGTCATATAATTTGTTTTATTGTATGTTTTGGTTTCATGATTTGTTTTCAAATTTGGATCAAATCTGTCACTCAAATAAGATAACCAGTAAAGTAATAAGTTCAAATAAATCATAAAATTTGCTTAAAAAAGATCCGAAAGCTGATAAAATCTGGTTTACAACATATCAATAAAAAATGTTTAATCGACGGATTTTCGATCGGCAAAAAATCTGTCATTGGATTATTAGATTATTGGCAAAAAATGTGTAATCCCTATTACATTTTTATAGGCTTCAATTATTATTGGATTAAGAGAATTGTCATTGGCATAGAATTCAACTCAAGATCTTTAGAGTTAAAGACTAATACTCCAACCACTAAGCTACCAGATTTTTTGATAATAATTTACAAATAAATTATATTTATATGTTTATATATTTATATTTTATATATTTATATTTTATATATTTATATATATTTTTATATATTTATATATAATTAAATATTTTTATATATTTTTATATATTTATATATAATTAAATATTTATTTTTTAAAATTATTTAATTTAAGAAATTATTATAAATTAATCTAATTATGATTAAATTAAATTATTAAATAAAAAATATTTAATTTTTTAATTAGTTGAATATTTACTCGATTGTTAAATTACCGACGGATTTATTGATCGGATATATCCTTCGGTAACTAATTATTATTTTACCGACGGATATATCCGTCGCTAAGATCAAATTCCACAAATATTTTATATCCGTTGTAATTTTCGTCTGTAATAATTATTTTCCGATCGGATACAAATCCGTTTGTAATACTGCGATTTTTTTGTAGTGATATATATATATATATATATATATATATTTATTTTTTTTTTTTAAATATTTAAAACCTTTATAAAGTATGTTATTGAGATGAGTTAATGGGTCTTTCAAGACATTTTTCAGAGAGAAACAATACAAATAAGATATAAGTCCAAGCTACATAAAAGATTGACACACTCTTAACCCAAAATATTAAGACATTGGGTTGTGTGTTATACTTCTTTATATGTTACTCAATTTTCTCTTTTTTATTCAATGATTTTGATATCACTTGTTGGGTCTTTTGAACTATTCATCAGAGAGAAACAATACAAATCAGACATGAGTCTAACCCAGATAAAGATTGACACTACTCTTAACAAAAAAACTTATTTTCTTATATATTGTTTAACTTTTTCATTCTTACTCATGGTAAAACTAATACCTGGATTTTCCAACCTAGTTTCATAAACATTGGAAACATTTTGTTTTGTGTATGACTATACGAAATTGACATGTTTATTTAATGAAAAAGTTATATATATTACTTTTTTTTTGTGGAGGACTTGTTCTCGCGTAAAAAGTTTATAAAAAGATGAGAAGTTTTTTCGTTACAACTTGTATTTTACTTTTTTTTTACAGCATCTTGTATTTTACTTTTATTTTTCACTTTAATCATTTTAAAAATCTCAAAATATAAAAAATTAACCAAACAAATTTTTAAATATCTCTATGAATAATTACTTTTTAAAAATATTATTGATTTCTAAGAAAACAACCTTGTATCTTGATACAAACTAAACCCCATTTCGGTTACACGTTTTCTAACTGAATCCACAGGGACTAGCTTTTGCGTTTGGACGTGGAAATCATCAGTATTTGAATTCTAACAACCAAACATGCGGTTAACATAACGCGTCAATCTCCTCTTGCATACAACCAAACCCTTTGTTAATTCACAACAGAATCCCTCACACATGCATCAAATTCTCGTTGTATGTGTTAATTTGTTCTTCCTTTAACCACGCTTTAGAAGAACAACATATAAACACTAAAGCAAAGAAGAAAACTAGAAAGCAAACATCTCCAAACAAAACCTCTCATCACATCAACCTTTAATTATCATCTCACTCTCCTTCCATAAAAAGTTAAACCCATTGGCTTCACCTATTTGATCATATTCCACACCTTGTGCTGAGAATAAACAAATCTATGGCGCCTGATCATAGTTCTGGGCGCACGTTGATATGGATCATCGCGTGTATTTTGTTCATATGTGTCCTCGTTGGAGGAGGGTGCCTTCTAGAATACGTGGTTCTTCCTGAGTCAGAAGTTCCATCTTGGATGCCCATTCTAGGGTTCACGTTGGTTTCTCTACCATGGGCTTTTTGGTTACTCACCTTCCTGTACCAAATTTTCTCACGGTGTTGTGGGTGTAGAATTGGTTTTGACGTTGAAAGAGAGGGATCAAAAGGTGTTGGTGGTGGTGGTGCAGTTGCTCATGGGGATGCAGGTGTTGAAGCAAATGTTAATGGCATAGATAGGAATCTATCTGTTGCTTCACATGAGAGTCAAATGCCATTGGCAAAATCAATGGCCTCTTGATCAAACTCTCTAATTGGTGGGTTTTTCTTTCAGAAGTTGCACCAATTTATTTTCATATGAAATGATTGTTACTTTTCACACTTGTGTTGTACATAGATATAAAGTGAATCCTAGAAGCAACATTATCCTTTGTCCTTACCAATCTTGAGTGAAAAAAATTACGAAGTTTAGTAATTTATAGATCAACATACAATTGATGTTTTATTATTATAATAAGATTAAAGGTTATTTAGTCAACAGGAAGTAAACAAGATAAAAGAAATGGTTATAATTTGATGTGATTTTTTCTACGGGAATGGTTAAATGATCTATTTAGGGTTTGAAATACACCAAAAACTCAAAAACATGTTTTATCCTATAGCTATAACCCACGCTACATATCAAAATGATAAAAATAATAAAATTTTAAACTGTAATTTTTACATATTAAATGTAAAAAATGATCAAGTAGTTTAGGAGATATGAATGAGACTTAATTTAACCCCAAACAAAAAATAAACAGGGTAAATAACCTAATTTAAAAATTTATGGGAAAACAATTATAACATTTATGAGAATAAGATTATGACAACAAAAACAAGAGAAAACATTTATAAAATCGTTGGTTCAAGCTAAAACCTTAACATAAAATTTATCTCACAAGTAAGAATCTTAACAAAGAATTTATCTCACGTTTTAAAGATACTAAAATAACATCTACTGTTTCATTCATTTTTAAAATTATAGATACAACCTGTTCTTCCACTTCTGGAAGCAAATAAAAGAAAAAGAATAATAAAATTTTAATAATTTAACCATATGTAACATGCCTCAATGGTTAAGTGAGACAAAGTTTAAGGTTTAAGATTCAAATATAACTTATGGACTTTTTACATGCTTTTATGAAACAAAGACTAAGTTGAATAATTAGGCCTATTGTTGCAAGACTTCATGGGTTGTCTTGTCCCAAAATCAAATAAATCTTCTCTTTTATATTGGCCAATACTTGAAAAGGATCATCCCCTCTTGACATAAGCTTTGACTTCCTTTGTGAAAGAAATCATTTCGTCCTTAAATACACTCATACCTAGCCACCTGGTTCAAATGTTACCTATCTCCTTTCTTTGTGTGCATATTTTGTAATTCTGTATGTTGGCTTATTCGGCAACACAGCTCCTGGAACAAAATCAATCTGGTGTTCAATCCCTCCTAATGGTGGAAGTCCACTTGGAAGTTGAGGTCATTCCTCAATGCAACAATTTCCTTATTATAAGGAATATACATGAATCTTCTTGCTAAAAATATTCTCCTCACTTCCAAACTTTTTACAAAAGGCGACTTGTTTTCTCTCCTTTCTTTCGCCGCACTTTTTACTCTCTTTTTTATTCTTTTCTCTCACACTTGTCTTATCATTTTTTTTCTTGTTTTTTTTTTTTTCATTTTATTTTGATCCTCACAAACCTCTTTAGGTGACAAAGGAACTAGAGTGACTTTCAATCTTGGTAAAAATGTGTATTTGTTGGTGTGACCATCATGTTGGGCTTTTTTGTCAAACTATTACGGTCTCCCAAGCAACATATGACTAGCCTCCATATGAACTACATCACAAAAAGACCTTATGATAGAGGACCATAGGAAGGATCATTGACTACACCAACACCAGTGCTTATAACCTTTTTGTTCAATATGATATATAAATTCTTAGGGAAGCATAGAAGAAAAGAATGTGGGACTTCTAGAGCCATTTTTAGTGCCTCACATAAGAGTAGAATAAGTCCCACATCTCTAAATTCTTGAAATGGATGAGAGGGAAAACACTATAAATATAAGCCCTTATGTAGCTTCTTTGGAACATTTGAGTGAAATCCAAGCTTAGTGTATAAAACTTGCAATTTTTCTTGTATCCCATTTTGGCTTGACTTCAAGTATCCTTTGAAGATTTTCTTCTCCTTGTCTTCTAAACAAGGAACCTTCCTTGGAGAAGCTAGTCTCAAGTCTTCTTTTGAGACTTGGGGAACAATTTTCGGTCACTTGAGAGTTTGAGGTGTGAACTTGGGCGTCTCTTTGGTGGAAGGAGGAGATTATTTCCATCAATTTTTTATCATGAGTTAGGCATGGAGGTCTTTAAGAGATAAATACCTTCATCTTTCATTCTTTCTTGTCTTTGAATTTCTGTCTTGTGTGCCATTTTTTGAGTCTTTTTAATTGAGTCATATGTCATCGGTCATAAAGTATTTTTTTTAATTGGTTCATTATTATGCTTCTTTCTAAAATCAATTGTTTAGGAATTCTTGAATATGTTATATACATAGTCATAGAATTTTATTGCTTAGTGTAGACCCCAAATCTTGCCCGGCCTCCAAATAAAGAGTAGAAGACCTCCTATTCGAAGATGGACGAAGCCTAACAAGCCACTAAGAGAGACTATTAGGCCCCATACTAGGATAGGAAGGAGTTTCTGGACAAAAAATAAGTTTTCTCGCCTTTTTCGGACGAGACCGCCGTCTCGAAATCGAGACCGCCGTCTCGCCTCACGCAAATGGCGAGACCGCCGTCTCATTTGGCGAGACGGCGGTCTCGCCACCTGCGAATGACGAGACGGCGGTCTCGTTTGGCGAGACGGCGGTCTCGTCACCTGCGAAGGACGAGACGACAGTCTCGTTTGGCGAGACGACGTCTCGTCACCTGCGAAAGATGAGACGGCGGTCTCGTTTGGCGAGACGGCGGTCTCGACCCTGTCAGACAAGAACGACGGTCTCGCCACTGACAGGCGCGAAAACCTATAAATAGGGGCTCTCCCCCCCTCATTTCCACACACCACAAGCTTCTAGCTCTCCCTTCTCTCTAAAACTTCTCTCTAGAATCCCTCCGACGCATTTCCGGAGTTTCTGAGTGCTTTTGAGAGCGTTTTTTCGGCGTCTAGAAAAGTTTCCAGCGCTGTGTAGAGTGAAGGGTTGCCAAAAAGCACCCTCTTTTAAAGAGAAATAAAAAAAGAAAGCTTGCTTCGGAGGTTTAAACTCTTCCTCTCCCCTTTTATCGCTTTAAATTTACATTATGCAATAGATTAGGGCCATGTAGTCATACTTTTAAATTCCACACAATAAAAAGGGCAAAAGCGTAATTTTCCATGGTTTAAATATTTTTAAATAGCCGGCCTGTCATAGGGAACCCGAAAGGGGCGTCGTAAAGGGACTAATACTCCCTTTACACGTAACTAACTCCCTTACCCAACTCTGGTTCTAATGACCAAAGTTGGTTTTTGAAAACCAACGCCTTTAAAAACCCCTTTTCCGATGTTTCTGGTAAAAACATCGGTGGCGACTCCACAGAACCCCTCAAAAATAGTCCTTGGGTTAGCCCGGTTATCGGACAACCCAAAGACGCCCTTTCGAAAACCTCGCCCCTAGGTTAGCCCGGTTATCAGACAACCTAAAGGCGTTGTAACCACCCATAAAAAACGCGAAAAATAAAAAAGGGTCGAAACCATCGCGTCGCTCCGACCGCCTCTTTTTGATGGCGGCGACAGATGGCGACTTCACTGGGGAAGCCTCGAAAGTTGATCCCATTTAGTGATGGGCCGGCTTAAAAATAAATAAACCAAGAAAATAACACTTTTGCCCTTAACTTGTATTATAACATGATTTACAATTTGGCTTTAATAACTGTTGCTTGTTTATACTTACGCAATTGTGTGAAATACAAACTGTACACAAACCTTTGCACACAACAGTTCCCTCTATACCCGGGGGCAAGTGAGAAAACCATAGGGAGTGGGTGGCAGGTACGATTCGCTGTAGTGAGGGCCTTGAGCCCACCAGTGTGATCGGAAACCACCACTCAAGGTGATAACCTTCCTCTTTTGGCAACAAGACTGACTACGGCCTTTGTGCTAAGCATAGTCGGACGGCTGGAGAGTGGGGACCCTATAATGGGGGCACCTTGGGGGCCTTTAGCCTGGTGAGAACAGTTAGAACCAACCCTTGCCAATGCACTTTTCTGCAGGAAAACCCTACCTCGTAAAAACGAATTCTCGCCTGTTCGTGGATGATCGAATTGTGTGTGCATATGTTTGTTGCATTTGTCTATTGCATAGCATAAACAAACAACAAAACAAAAAAACCAAAAATATTTTCACAAATAAACACCCTTATCTCGGATAGTCTGCCTTTTAGCTAGCCTGGTTTCAGGCTCTTTGTAAGCTAAGTAGCCACGCAGTTCCGACAGAAGAGATAAGAGATGCTAAAATATCCTTTCGCATAAAGCCACATTTTATCTCGGACAGTCTGCCTTTTAGCTAGCTTGGTTTCAGGTTCTTTGTAAGCTAAGTAGCCACGCAGTTCCGACAGAAGAGATAAAAGGCTATAAAAACAAACAAATAAAATAAAAAGCAATAAACATCAAAATAAAAATCAAAAGTCCATGAATAAGACCTGGTCCAAAAATATCACACTCATAAGACATTCATATAGACAGTTTATGCTTCAATAAAAAATACACGCAATTACCATACATCATGTAGAAAAACATGATAAATAGGAAAATAAAAACACGTACATTCATTCAAATAAGCATCATTTTCATCAAACATGCATTTTGGTTTTAGAAATGGAGGGGACAAGTAGATAGCCAAAGAAGGTGGATATTCCCCGTTTCCATACTGAGAGATTGGAACGGCTAAGCGCGGCAATGCCATCGGAGGTCCGCGCTGACTTTGAAAAATCCTATGGACGGATTTTGGACCTTCTAAAGATCTGTGTCGATCAGGTGTTCCTAAGGGCGCTAATCCACTTCTGGAATTCAAATCTGCGGTATTTCGAATTTTCGCAGTTCGACTTGGTGCCCACATTAGAGGAGTATGAAACCATGTTGAAATGGCCCAAATCAGCCGGGGTCCATGTCTGCCACGAGGCATACACTCCTGCAGCACCAGTCGCTGCCCTTATTCAACTACTATTCCGACAGAGTACCCTAATAAAGAAGGGGAACGCCCAGGGTTGGAAAGTATCAATGCTGGAAGACCA